GCCCTGACAGGGAACACAACAGAGAGTCCCTGATGGATCAAGAGAAAAGTGGGGTGCAGAACTCAAATTCTAGTAAGAAGACCAGACTTAATGGTCTGAGACTGGAGACACCCCGGAAAGCATGGCCCCTGGATTTCCTATCAGCCCAGAACTAAAATAATTTCCGAGGCCAACTCTTCAGACAGAGATTGGACTGGACTGTGGGACATAAAGTGATACTCATGAGGACTGTGCCTCTTAGCTCAAGTAGGTACAAGAGACTAAATGGGCAGCTCCTGTCTGGAGGTGAGATGAGAAGGCAGAGAGGGTCAGGAGCTGGTTGAATGGACACAGGAAATCTGGGGTGGAAAGGAGGAGTGTGCTGTCACAGTATAGGGAGAGCAACTAGGGTCACAGAACAATGTGTATATAAATTTTTGTATGAGAAACTAACTTGAATTGTAAACTTTCACTTAAAGCACAACAATAAAGAAAGAAATTAACTCTTTTCCTGAGCTAAGATTTTTATAAAGATCCACAGCTTTGAGATCCATGAAAGCAAGGATCCAGTCTATGGTTCACCACCACATCCTCCATGCCTGGGACATTCTCATCATAGAAAGCCTAGAAACATCTTTAACGCACTTGTAACATGCATTGAAAGATGATAACTTAAGCTACAGTGAGATACCACTTCACGCCCACTAGAATAGCTATAATCAAAAACAGGTAATAATAAGTGTTGACAAGGATATGGAGAAATCAGAACCTTCATCCATTGCTGGTGGGAAGGTAAAATGGTGCAGCCACTGTGGAAAATAGTTTGGCAGTTCCTCAGAAGATTAAACATAGAGTTACCATTGTCGTCGTTACGCGCCGTCGAGTCAGTTCCGACTCACAGCGACCCTACAGGACAGATTAGAACTGCCCCGTAGAGTTTCCAAGGAGCGGCTGGTGGATTTGAACTGACATCCTTTTGGTTAGCAGCCAAGCTCTTAACCACTGCGCCACCAGGTCTCCATATGACCCAGCAATTCCACTTATAGGTTTATACCAAAGAAAAAGGAAAATATACACCCACACAAAAACTTGTACACAGATGTTAAAAGCAGCATTATTCATGATAGTCAAAAAGTGGAAACAACCCAAATGTCCGTCAACTGATGAATGGATAAACAAAATGTGGTATAAGCATGTAATGGAATAAGTATTTGGCCATAAAAAGGAATGACATGGATGAACCCTGAAAACATTATGCTACGTGAAAGAAGCCAAACACAAAAGTCTACATGTTGTATGATTCCATTTACTTGAAATGTCCAGAAAAGACCAATCCATAGAGTCAGAAAGTAGATTACTGATTGCCTGGGGCGGGGGGCTGGGGGGAAATGGAGAGTGACTGCTAAGGGGTATGGGGTTTCCTTTTGAGATGATAAAAATTTTCTAAAATTAGACAGTGGCAATAGTTGTACAACTCTGTCAATATACTAAAAACCACTGAACTGTATGCTTTAAATGAGGGAATGGTATGGTATGTGAATGCTATCTCAATAAAGCTGCTATTGAAAAAAAATAAAGACGACTTGTTTCCTCAATTAGAAGGCATAAAAATCAGCCCTATTTCTTCAGCATGATCAACAAACCACCTCAGTAGGAAAAATAAAGCCGAACTCAAGGCTTTAAAAATACATATACAGGGTACACGTGAAACAATGGGGACGGGTTTTCCAACTGAAGTTTGAGTGGTTGCATTAGAGCTAGAAAAAATCAAGTCACACTAGTACTAAGTCATGGACTATTATGGGAACAGACACTTGAGGGTGAAATCCCAGACATTCTGAAACCACCCAGTTGCAACCCTGCCCAGACACCCACCTCCGACTGATTGACCAGCAGCTCCGACCATTTCTGCCACTGGGGACACTTGTCTCTGTCCTCAAAAGTGGTCTCATTGGAAGTCCAGCAGCACTGCTCATGGCTGTACCAGAAGGCGGACAAGCAGACGCCCTCCTTTAGGTCTGTCATCCAGTCAACTGCGAGGTCAATCACCCCAGCCAAGGTGCCTGGAAGAAGGAGCAAGGGCCACTCAGAGGAACCGCTCCATGATGCCAGCGGAGTGTACAACACCAGGCCAACACGGGAGCAAGTCGGCAAGGATGCCCAGAAGAGCACACCATGGGGTCGCCACTTACCTAGGACGCGTCCTGACTCATGTTCAAGTCACATTAACATCCACGGTGTGGGCAAGGCAGTGGCCAGCCCAGTGAGGGATACAGAAGCCAACAGTGTGTGGGCCTCAAGTGGCTAAAAATCCGGTTGGAGAGAGAGACACACAGGTCTACAATCTTATCAGAAACCACCAGGCTGTGTGGCTTTCGGAGCTCATACCTTTTCAGGATTTTGGAAATAGGTAACATACACCAATAAATGACATAATCTGGGGCAGAATCTGGGAATCACAGACATTGATATTTCTGAAGAGAAACATGACAACTCCAACAAAGTGGAGGTATAACTATAATAGTTTCATATCATTTAAGGTTTTGCCACCAAATGGCAACAAAACTTGGGAAAAACCTTGTTTGTTAGAACTTTCTGGAATTTTTTGAACTATGGATAAGGGCGTGTGGATCTGCAAATAACTAACCTCAAAAGCAGAACAGAAGTGGGATAAAATAGCATGCAGTGGGCCACAGAAGGCTACCTCAGGTCTTTCCAGAATAACCTGTTCGAGCTTTTATGAAGGCAGGAATGCTTCCAGACTACTTAATTTTACAAAGTTTTACTGGTCCTCATTACACTTTCAACTCTAAACTCGCATCACCCACAAATGCACCCACATACCCACAAGGGCGCTCACCCCTTCCTCCTCCTGTCCTGTCAGAAAAGGCCACCAGCCCCGTTTCTAGGGCTCATCTCCCAGCTCTGCCCTGGATCGCACCCCTCCTCTAGCCAGGTTCTAACAGCTCCTCCTTCCTTCCCCTGGATCTTCAACTCTCCCTCTCTGAAGGCTTCTTCCTGTCAGCATTTAAACATGCTCTCTTCACTCCCATTTTAGAAATAATTTTATAAAACCCTCTCAGTCCCACTCTGCCCTCTACCATCCTCTCTCTTCCCTAGCATTTCTGAAAGCCTGTCTGGCTACAGGGTGGAGAACCCACTGGACTGAGACAAGGCTGGAGGCAGGGAGGCCAGAGAGAAGGTTCTGGCAGCTTTCAGACCAGGGAGGATTCCAACATGGTGGTCTGAAGGGCCACAGCTCTGGTGGAGAAGGAGGAAAGTGGAGCAAGTTAAGAGAGAGTCCAGGGAAAAAATCAGAATTGCCAGCTGTAGTGATGGCCTGGACGGGGAAGCATGCCCTGTTGTTGTCTGGGCAAGTGCCTGGATAGCGGGGTTCTTCTCTCAGCTGGGCGGAGGACCATTCAGTCCAGCGCTGGACGCGGTGTGAGTGGCGCCATCTAGTGGACTCAAAAGGCAATACACTGGGTGTTCCTCCACCATTCCCACTCGGTGGTATCGACTGCCTGGGACACTGTTAACAAGTTTTGTGAGGGAAGGCCTCAAATGGAACATGACATTTGAACAAAGACCTGAAGAAGGTCGGGAGGAGAGGGGTCCTGCAGATACGCAGGGGCAAGACGCCCGACCGCCCCAAATGCGGGCGCAGCCTGCTCATTCATTCCTTATCCTATTGCGCCCCCTGCTGTCTTTACTGTGGACTCTAGAGCTGACTGCTGTGGGCCTCAGCTTTGTTTTGTGGTACAACAGTGACATCCAGTGGTGACTCCCTGGTAAACCCATCCTGTAGGAAATGTTCCTGGGTTCCTGTTGTGGGAGTCAGAATATAACCACCAAAGTGTCACCGTGGGGGCGACAGGCCAGGCAGTGGAACCCCTGGGTCCTTTCCCTGGGGAAGGGGGAAATGAATGGGGCACAGCTCCCTGATTCTCCTTCCAAGGTGCATCCACGCCGAAAGAACACTTCAGGGAAAATGGGGAGTTACAGCATAATGGGGTATTTCCTGTTTGGGGTAAAGAAAAAGTTTTGGAAATGCATACTGGTGCTGGTGCGCAACATGGTGAATGTAATTACTGCACTGAATTCTACACTTAAGAAATGGTTAAATTGGCAAACTTTACAATAAATATTTTACCACAAAAAAAAAAATAGGGCAAAAACCACTTCGACCCTCTGTTTTCAATATCATCCCATTCTTGCCTTCCTCCATGTTCCCCTTTGCTGCTATGTCCACGGACTGTCCTTTCTCCAGTAGTCTCACCCCTGGCTCCACATAGAATCCCCTGGAAGGGGGCATTTTAAAGCCCCAAGGTCAGCCCATCTCCCAGCTGCTGTTTAATTGGTCTGCTGTGGCATCAACAGCAGTATTTTTTTAATTCCCCAGGTGATTCCTCCTGAAAGAAATGACAGAAATCTGGTTGAGGCTAAAGCCAGCTGGAGAGCCCAATCAGGCTCTGAGATGGATCCATGCAGCTCGGCTGTGCTGCTGACTCTGGCTAGAATCCAGGCTTCTTCATTTCCCCTATTTCTTCCTCCTTCCTGGGAGCCAGGCACAGTGATACATGTAAGAGTTAATAATCTATTCTAAATAAGGACATCCAAATTCACAGCACACTCCCACCTCTTCATAGAAGCAGTCAAGCGAAACCAGTGGTAAAACACGGCAGCTCTATGAAATCTAACCCTCCTCTCCCATGACTGCCAGTATAGAGTGGGAAAGCCACTGCCGAAGGAAGGGCTGAATCAGAGAAACGGACGGTGGCTGCTATGACTAGCTGGGAAGCCTTCTCCTTCCCAGCATTCCTGTTGGCTCTTTATGACATGCCAAGGGGAACAGAGCCCTTCCCTGGCCACCAAGCCCCTCCTATAATTGAAATTAAATATACCAAAGATAGCCCAGAAATTTCAATCCTCTGTAATCACAAAATTTACATCTGTGCCCCATTAGTGTTGTGCTTCTTACAGCACTTAACTGTATTCTGCCTGATTTATAGTGGAGTCCCTGGTCGATTCTCTAATTGTGATTATTATGCTGTTATATTTAGGAGTTTTTGTTAAGGGGATCTCCTTAGCATACTCATATGTTTTTCTTAAACATTAACCTTCACATCCTCTTAAAAGGATATGTGTTTCAATCTAGGTCAACTGGCATAACAAAGTTTATTACAAAAATGTTCTGTATCCCACTTGAGTGGCGTCTGGGGTCTTAAAAGCTAGCAAGCAGCCATCTAAGATGCATCAATTGGTCCCAACCCACCTGGAGCAAAGGAGAACGAAGAACACTAAAGATGCAAGGAAAATATTAGCCCAAGAGACAGAAAGGGCCACATATACCAGAGACTCCATCAGCCTGAGACCAGAAGAACTAGATGGTGCCTGGCTACCACCAATGACCACCCTAACAGGGAACACAACAGAGAGTCCCTGATAGGGCAGGAGAAAAGTGGGGTGCAAAACTCAAACTCTAGTAAAAAGACCAGACTTAATGGTTTGATTGAGACTGAAGGGACCCCGGAAGACATGGCCCCCAGACTCTCTGTCAACACAGAACTAAAACCATTCCGGAAGCCAACTCTTCAGACAAAGATTAGACTGGACTATGGGACATAAAATGATACTTGTGAAGAGTGTGCTTCTTAGCTCAAGTAGATACATGAGACTAAATGGGCAGCTCCTGTCCGGAGGTGAGATGAGAAGGCAGAGAGGGTCAGGAGCTGGTTGAATGGACACAGGAAATCAAGGGTGGAAAGGAGGAGAATGCTGTCACAGTACAGGGAGAGCAATTAGGGTCACATAACAACGTATGTGTAAATTTTTGTATGAGAGACTAACTTGAATTGTAAACTTTCACTTAAAGCATAATAATAAAAAAAGGATATGTGTTTCAAGAAATGATCTGCATGAAAAGCTCATGTGTTTTGACATTAAACGGGCAGGTTTCTCATCCAGATTTTCATCCATTCATTCTGGGTACACCTAGCTCGCAAACATGGGGTTTGGATTATAAAAACAAAAGATGCACAGTTCCTGAGAATCAGAACAATGTATTGGCTGGAGATACCTCCCCTGGGACTACCTCAGATCCTGTGGGTGCACAGCACTACATCTTAGGATGGTTATGATTCATTCTAGAGCCTGCCAGTATTAGTAAAAGCCAATCTCATATGGTGGCTTAGCATTGACGATCCAAAATTTCCCATATTGTGTTACCTTCTACATAAACAAGTACTACCGAATGTAAAATGTGTACTTTCAATAAAATCCAGAATGGTAAGAAACCCTTGTACTGGGTGGAGAGAGCCAACCATCTCTATAATTACAGCTCTCCATATGACCGGGCGTGGGGCCATGCCGCAGGCCTGCCTTATGGATGAGATATTAAATATATGGTCATGTATTTTCCTCTTAGATATTTCAAGTAACAAACCCCTTGGATAGGGTAAAAGAGAAACACTCCGTATTGTGAATTTCATCTCTGCCAGTTGGTGCTTCGGGGCCTGGCACACCCAGCTTTGGCCATGGGAGTACTGCATACCCTACCACGTACCTGCCAGCAAGCCGATAAGCAGCATCACAACCCATCCTGACCAGGCATCCAGCAAACTCTTGATGAACTCCCATATGGACTCCTTGCTTTTGCTGGTTATCTAGGAACAAAGTCGATATAGTGGTTAATCTGAACACATTTTCCAATTTATGCTTCCTTCCCTGAAACGGTTTCCCCTTTCTCCATCCACACCTCCCTGCTGTCAGTCCGACCTTCCTCTTTCTCCTGAGCTAACATCAGAGCTTCCTGTTTCTCCCTTTGCAATGCATCTTTATCGCGTTCTGTGGCCTTCAGGATAAAGCACAAACTCTTCCCCATAACCTACTTGGTCGTTCCCAACGTGGCCCCCTCGCCCACACTTCCAGACTCATCTCTACTCCCTCTTCCATGAATTCTCCACCAGACTCTCAAAGCTCCATGATACTGCCCCAACACACCATGTTCTTTCATACCTCTGTGACTTAAACAGGGCCACTCCTGATGTTTAGAATCCTTCCCCCTTTCTCTCCCTAGCAAACTCTTAGACATCCTTCAACCCCCCACTAAAATGTCACCCTCTGCTCGCCCCTCCTGTGATCCCTAGCACTTGAAACATAACTTTATTGTGGCCCATTAAAATATACTGACCACCAACTAAAGGTCAGGTACTGGAAACTGTGCTTTCACACACACACAATCTCATTTAATCTTCTGGTATAATTACCTCTATCTTTACAGGTAAGAAAATGAGGCCCAGAAATGGCACTCCCAAAGTCGTCCAGCCTGAAGGAGTCATGGGCAGGATGTGGCCCCAGAGTTTCTGGTTTCAGAGTCCCCTCTTTGTCCTCTACACCACTTTCCCTCCATCACATGGCCTCCCACCCAGAGCGCCTGGTATTGTTCATAGTTCTGTCTCCCACTAGCCCTTTTCTTCTTTAGAACCTAGCCCAGTGCATGGCACATAAGCCTACACCTCCCTCAATAACTGCTGAATGAAAACTGGGTGCAGCCATTTGAAAGAATCCCTTTCAACATGTCCTCGATGAACACTACATACCTTTCGGTGTCGGTCAGTGTCCCGTGACTTCTCCCGTAACCAGTCGATGGTGTGGAAGTCCTCATATGTCCCCACGTCAGGAAATGGCTCGTCGAGAAAATCCATCAGGTTCCCAGAGGCACTCATTGCACCAGCATTGACCATACTAGTCACACCTGGAAGAGAAAGCCAGCGGTTGTCAAAGGAAGCAGGACGTCCACACGGACACGACAGAAGATGATCACGTGCGCTATTTTCTGATATAAGAAAAAATGTCAGCATAGACCTCTCTTGCAATGGGATATAGATATTTCTGAAAAATCTCACGTTCTGGCAAAGCAAGGCATAAAAATCAGAGGGCTGGAAAGGTAAATGAGGTTGGGCCATACCACTCAAAACCTATGCAACTGTGTAACCAAATCAGTCATTGGTTCCCAGGAGATGAACTGGACCACCCAGGAGCCAGCCGACGTGGTTGTACACCCAAGGAGAAGGAAAATGCTGGCAAGGCTTGAATTAGCACGTGGCAGCCAAGGCAATCTGAGGCGGCCGCAAAGATGGGCAAGGGAAACAGGCAGCCTGCCATGAGCCAAGAACCACGCGAGGCTGGCAGCACACCACCCTGGGGAAGGAGCCCTGGATGCAGGCACTCGTTTTCAATTGTCTTTAAAATACAGTTTAAAGGCCATACATCTAAAGGTGGTGAAATCATTTTGAAATGGATAGTGGGAATGGTTGCACAGCATGATAAACGTAACTAATGTCACTGAATTATACATGTAAAAAATGTTGAATTGGCAAATGTTTTGTTATATATGTTTTTACCACAATAAAAAAAATTTGTTTTTAATCCAACTGATTTCCAACCAAGTCCATCCAATGAGGAAATAGTCTTTTCAATAAATGGTGCTGGGACAACTCATCTCCACATGCAAAAGAATGAAGTTGGACCCATACTTCACATCATAAACGAATGTTAACTCAAAATGGACCAATGGCCAATTAAGAATCAAAACCACAAAACTCTTAGAAGAAAACATAGGGGCAATGCTTTGGGACCTTGTTTTTGACAATGGATCCTTAGATATGACACCAGAAGCACAAGCAACAAAAGAAAAAATTACAGCTAAATTGGACTTCATCAAAATTCAAAACATTTGTGCATCAAAGGATTTTATCAAGAAAGTAAAGAGACAACCTACAGACCGGGAAAAATATTTGGGAATCATATATCTGATAAGGGTTTAACTCAATGGCCAGTACATATAAAGAACTACAACTCAAGAACAAAAAGACAATCCAATTTAAAAATGGGCAAAGGACTTGAATAGCTATTTGTCCAAAGAAGGTATACAAATGACCAAAAAGCACATGAAAAGATGCTCAGCATCACTGGTCGTTAAGGAAATGCAAATCAAAACCACAGTGAGATACCACTTCATCATCACTAGGATGGCTATTATAAAGAACACTAAGTGTTAATGAGGATGTGGAGAAACTGGAACCCTCATCCACTGCTGGTGGGACTGTAAAATGGCGCAGCCACTGTGGAAAATAGTTTGGTGGTTTCTCAAAAAGTTAAATATTGAATTATCACATGACCCAGCAATTCCACTCCTAGGTATATACCCAAAAAAAGTTGAAAGCAGGGACTCAAGAAGATACATGTTCACCAAAGTTCATTGCAGCACTATTCACAGCAGACCAAAGGTGAGACAACCCAAATGTCCATCAATAGATGAACGGGTAAACAAAATGTGGTCTAGTCATACAATGGAATATTATTCAGCCATAAAGAGAAAGGAAACCCTGATACATGCTACCACATGGATGAGCCTTGAAAACACGATGCTGAGTGAAGTCAGACACAAAGGGACAACTATTGTATGATGCCACTTACATAAAATATCCAGAATAGGCAAATGCACAGGGCCCAAAGCAGGGCTTTGAACCGGTTCCGTCCAGTTGGAACCTCCGCTGAGAATGTGCAGGTCTAACGAGTTCCCAGGTGATGCTAACGCTGCTGGTTAGGGACCAGTTCTGAGAACCACTAGTAGACCAGTGGGTCTCAAAATTGATTATACATAAGATTCACCTGGAGATCTCGTTAAACTGTAGATTCTGATTCATTATCTCTGGGGTGGAAATGTAAATTCCCAGCAGAGGGTCAAACCAGATAGAACCAGTTTGAAGCCCTGGACCAAAGTTCCTTAGTGGTTACCAGGGGCTGAGGGGAGGCGCAGTTATTACTTAAGGGGCACTGAGTTTCTGTTTGGGGTGACGGAAAAGTTTTGGAAACAGCGGTGATGGTTGCATAACATGGTGAATTTATGTCATTAAATTGTAGACTTAAAAACAGTTAAAATGGTAAATGTTTTATTATTTATATTTCACCACAATGAAATTTTTAACAAGGGGGGCCTCCTGCTGCCAGGCATGGCCCTGTGGAGGGGTCGTCCTCTGCTGCCTAAGAAAGTCCCACCCCCACTCTTCGGCCCCCTGGCCTGGGAAGCAATCGCAAGTGAACCTCCACAAGGGATACTGCCCTCAGAGCTCCATTTACAAATCACAGAGGAGCGAATCTGAGACGCAGAAAATGCTTGGCTGCAGGACCCAGGCTCACCACCTGCAAGCCTACAGTTAATAGACAAATAACAAACTCCTACAAAGACAAGAGGTTGGAATAAGCACGAAATAAAAATCACTTTGGCAAGGAGCGTGGAAATTGGAATTACAGGGGGGAGGACCCCAAAAGTGCTGGGATCCACAACTGAAGACTTGAAGGGTGGTTGTAAAAATATTTAAGTGTGGACTTCTCTCATCATTCTTATATATTTTTATATCGGGAGGACTCAACTGAGGCCTGATGAAACCGCATTTTAATCAAATTGAAACGTTCCTATGGGCCAAGTAGGGTAATCACCTTACAAGCAATAAAATGGCCATCGTGATTGATTTATTGACCTTCCGTGCAACTCAGCTGCTTTAAAACTTTAAAAGGCCCTTACAGCTTGAGGCTTGAGCCATGCCAACTCAAAAACTACACCCATTGATGAGTACCCAGGGAGGCATCACTGCATAGGTCAGTAGCAACCAGGGATAGACGGGAAGGAGTGAAACTAGAAAGCAAAGATTGGTAATGGGCTCTCATTATATGTGGGAAGAAAATCTCTGATGTTGATCCCCACTGGAGAGCCAGCACATAGAAGAATAGCAGAGACTTGGACATTTCATTAAAAAGGCATTCACAGTACCCTAAATTTAACCAAATCGCTACCAAGCAACTAGTCCAGGCAGTCATGCTTGAAACAAAGGCGCCCCAGAGAACAATTACATGTTTAAACTCTGATGGAGCATGGTCATGACAATTAGACATATAATTGGTAGAGGAAAACAAACTCGACCCAATCTGCAGAGCTCCAGGGGGCTTCCCTGGGGCTCAAGGAGGAGGTGGTGACATCACTTCTAAGGGTGGTGGTTAAGAGACAGGAGAAATGCAGCAAGAGGGCATCCAGGGCGGAAAAATGCAAAGGACTCTCTCAGGGGTCCATCTGGGAGAGGTGGACGGATGAGTGTCTTAGTTTCCTAGTGCTACTGTAACAGAGGAGCCCTGATGGCTCAGTGGTTAAGAGCTTGGCTGCTAACCAAAAGGTTGGCAGTTGGAATCGACCAGCCGCTCCTTGAAAACCCTACAGGGGTCACTAGAGGTCGGATTTGACTCAACGGCAACGGGTTTGGGTTTTGGTTTGCTGTAACAGAAATACCACAAGTGGGTGGCTTTAACAAACAGAAATTTATTTTCTCACAGTTCAGGAAGCTAGAAGTCCAAATTCAGGGCTCTAGGGAAAGCTCTCTCTCTCTGTCCGCTCTGGGGGAAAATCCTTGTCTCAGCTTCTCTAGATTTTTCTCAGCTTTCCTGAGGGATCTACCTCTCCCCCATTCCTGCTTGCTTACTTCTGTGCCTAATCTGTTCCTTTTATATCTCAAAAGTGATTGGTTTAAGACACACCCTACACTGATATGTCTCATTAACATAACAAAGAAAATCCTATTCCAAAATGATATTACAGCCACAGGTACAGAGACTAGGATTCCAACACATATTCTGGGTGGACACAATTCAACCCATAACAATGAGGGACTAGAATCCAGCCAGACACAGGAGCAATGGGCCATGAACTCCACGGACTTGTTCGCTGAGAAATAAACTTCACCTCAGCAAGTCCAACATAGCAAAAGGAACCACCCCACATGAATGCTATCAGCCATTTGCACCTCTGAGGGAAGCCCTCACTCTTCTCACCTGCTTCTATTCCTTCTCTCCAACTACAGCACTTCTGCTGGCAGATGATACCTCTGCTCATGGCCTCAAGAACATGGTTTCAACGCAGGATAGCATCCCAGAGCCTGGATACAGGACTCCTACTTGTTCTTGATTATCTAGGTCAGGGGTCAGCAAACTGTGGACCCTGGGCTAAATCCAGCCCACTGCTTGGTTGTGTAAATAAAGTTTTATCAGCACATAGCCATGCCCACTTGCTGACTTACTATCTACGGCTGCTTTCATGCTACAATGGCAGAGCTGAGTAGTTAGAACAAAGACCATCTGGCCCACAAAGCCAAAAATGTTTACTATCTGGTCCTTTATAGAAGAAGTTTGCCGACTCCGATCTATGTAGTAGACTGATTGCAAGAACGGCCCCTATTCTAGGTGGAAATCAACAGACGAGTGGATAAACAAAACGTGGTGTATCCTTACAATGGAATATTATTCAGCCATAAAGAGAAACGAAGTCCTGATACATGCTACAACATGGATGAACCTTGAAAACTATGCTGAGTGAAATAAGTCAGTCACAGAAGGACAAATATTGTTCTGATCCCACTTATATGAAATATCTAGAACAGCAAATGCATAGAGACAAAACGTAGATTAGCATTTACCAGGGGCTAGGACTGGGGGAGGGGGAATGGAGGCGTTATTGCTTAATAGGTACTTTGTTTCTGTTTGCGGTGAGAAAAACCTGTGGAAATAGATAGTGGTGATAAATGTACGATATGGTGAATGTAATTACTGTATTTTTACGCAAATAACGCCATGTGTTATATGTTTTTTTGCCAACCTTGCCCTCCCCCCCAAGTATTTTCATAAGCTCACTATGCTAGTTTTTTTACGTTACTGTAAAAAAGTTAGCATAGCACACTTACAAAAATACAGGGGGCAGCTGGCAAAAAAACATACAACATGTTATTTGCATAAAAATATGGTAATGTCATTGAATTATACACTTAAAAATGGCTAAAATGGCAAATTTTTGTTATACAGTTCACCACAATAAAATAAAATAAAAAGCTATCATGTCCTCCATGACCTTTATTGCTCTAATACATAGAAGGGGAGATCAAAAAATGTAGCCCAAAGAGATTGACAAATATACAGAAAAAGAAACCTACAGGTAAGCTGTGGAGTCTCATTA